TGCTTTTCAAAATGAAAACTAACTGAGGGCAGGCTCTTAACTATAGTAAATCCAGTTTACTGTAATGAACCTGATGGCTGGTTAGAAATTACAGACTTGGATGAGATAAACCAGGAGAGACGTCAGGTTCCCAGAGGCTGGTGTTTCTAGGGCATGAAGGGCCTAGCAGTTGAAAATGCTCACAGCTGAAGCAGTAGTTGGAGACAAGGATTATGTCTTTGCCTTTTGTGTGCACATTTTGACGTCTGTATGAATCTGTGACCTCTGAGCTATCTCCTTTTCCTGCAGACATGTCTAGCTACAAATACACAGTGGGCAATTGTGTACAGTGTAATTACCATTATAGAAAGTACTGACAAACTCTACTGTCTGAGATTGTGTCCACCTCTGCACTGCTCAACAAAGGAATTACAGCAGGATAATACTGACCTTCCTTTAGGCTGTATTTTCTAAGAACTGAGAGTTAGGATGCAAGTCTCACATTTCTGTTTTTGAATACTCAGTGTCATGTTTATTTTCCAGAGTGGTAGGACTTTGTAGAAATAACTACTTTTAAATTATAAAGATAAAATAACAGCATTAAAGATCTTTATATGGTTCCCCATTATTTTATCATTTCAAGTTTATTATTGTAACTTTTGTACACGTCCAGTCAGCCTTTTATTCACACATGTAGCTTATAATTTTGTTCATTCAATTTTAATTGTTAGTTATAATTCTAATTATTCTGTATAAATGGTTTTCTATTCACTCTTTTTCTTAATGAATAATAAACTTTTTGGGGACTGGGGATTTAGCTCAGCGGCACAGCACCTGCCTGGCAAGCGCAAGGTCGTGAGTTCGATTTCCGATACTGGGAAAACAAACAAACAAACAAAAATAAATAAACTTTTTAATGTCTTTCCATAGTCTTCACAATTTTATTGTCTTCAAGAGAGAAAAAGGAGTCTTTATTCAGGTTCTAATTTTCAGATACCATTTAAGTCTGTTTGACTTTTAATCTTTCTAACCCTTTCACATACTTTGTTACAAGGAGAAATGAGACTAAGACACATTACGCATCTTCCCAAGGTCATATAGCTAGTAAAGGATGGAAGCAATGTTGTAAATTGTGAGGTTGTGACCAAGTGTGTGTTTACCTGAAGTTTTGTTCTTTATCTTAAGGCATGTAAGACAGGAGAGTGACATGATAGTGATCGTTTTTCAGTTGGCAACTGTCTCCTCATAAGATTACAGTGGCTCTCAAGTTGCATGTCATGTTTTCGTGGCTTGAGTATGTACTTGTTTTCAATTTGAAAGACCATCTCTTCTCCCCTGAGTTTATGTTTCAAACTGAGGTGTGGTAGTCTTTTGACTTCTATACTTGTATTTTTTTAAATGTGATTTAATGATGATTAGTATAAAGAAGACCAAATAAAAAAAGAGCCTAACAAATTTTACCCCTAGGCACCACAGAAAGCAAACATGGTGTGGGGTGAAAAATAATCACTGCCAGTTGTACTTCCCAGAGGTAGCTTCTGTAGGCACATGCTGTAACCCTTCATACCTTTAATTTCCTATCCTTTTTCTTGTTTCTGTAGTTTTTCTCATGCACTGTATTTTTCTAGTTAAAAAATACAACAGATAAAAAGAATTGAAAGCATTAAAATGTAAATATATGTCTTGCCTTAAGATGTTATATTTAAAAATTGTAATCACTGTGTTCAAGGCAATGGTACCTTTTTAGATTTTGTATTCTAGTTGGGCAGGTCCTCCCAAGAAATATTTGTTATGAGGGAACACTTTGGTTTAGCTTCGGGTACAGCGTCATGGACATGAACTCTGGCAAATACGATTTGACTGTGATGAATCGTTTTGTCTCCAGAGACGTAAGGTAGTGAGATAAGGATAATGAGCAACAGAAATGCACTTGACTGTGTTGTACCAGTTGAAATTTAGCATTAGAAATATTGCAAAGCCCAGTCCAGTTCCTTCAGATTATAAATATTGATATTTTAAGACAAGGGATTTTTCTACATTAATTTTTCTACATTTTTACATTAAATATTGTTATGAGTACCCATACAATATAACTCACGTACAAAGTTTGCACATTGTCATTATCTAAATTCTCTATATTGTAAATGCCATTGTAAAAGTTGACTAAAATTTAAATCTCTCACTGTATCAGTCTTTTCAACATTATTGTTCTGTCTAAAATCCTTTATTCCCAGGCAGGCTGGTGGGTGCCTGTAATTCCAGCACTCAGGAAGCAGAGGCAGGAGGATCATCTTGAGTTCAAGGCCAGGCTGAACTACGTAGTGCAACCCTTTCTCAAAAAAGAAAAAAAAAATGCATAGATGACAGATGGAAGGATAGATAGGTAGACAGAAAGATAGTTTCATTCATTCTTTTATTTGCAAATTAATTGTCAGATACTTTTTGGCTTGCACAGTTATTTAGCCCAATAAGTTATAGATTGTGCTTAATGCCTTTCTAACATGCCCAGCACTTAGATGCCTCCTTTCGCAAAATAGGCAATCCTTGATTGATTCCAGTATGCAAGAGTTGGTACTCCAAAGTAGTTACTGGTGCTGAGACTCATGTAGGGCTTTGTTTCCAGAGACAGAGAATCCCTCATACAATTGTTTTTCCTTGTCTTAAATCGTCGTGAAGAGATACTATAACAAAGCTGTAGTAAAATGCTCTACAATTTTAAGAGAAGGTCACAAAGTATTTCCTAGTTCAGCTAAGTTTCTCAGTTGTGTTCTTTTTTCAGTCATAATTGCAGTTGATCCCAGTCACTCACTGTCTTTGTATAAGGTTACAAAAGATAATTTCAAACAAATGAATTTATATGCATACATCTGTCAAAAATTGAAAAATACATAGTTCAACAAGCTTTTTACCTTATATAAAAAGCTGACAGCCAAATTAACTCCTCAAATATATTCTACCCAGTTCTCATGACTGAAAAGTCTAACTATGTTTGTTTCATTTTAAGAAGCTTTCTTTTTAAGTATTTTATTGTGCCATATATGTAATAGTAAATTATGTGGGTGGGGGGAAAGACAGACAAACACGGAGACAGAGAGGGAGAAATACTTCAGTAATTCAGTTATGGTTATAGCTATGTATCTGCATAGCAGTGCATTATTATTGAGTAGCCAACTACATATTAGATAAATGTGCTTTTCTTTGTTATTAAGGAAACATAGAGTTACTTATTACTGAGTTGTGTGCTGAAACTTTATTTTGTTGCTTTAAAATATCTTAGTGGATATATATACTAGTAAAACAACATGACTCAGTCTATTCTAGTCCAAGAAACTAATTGAATTTTCCCTAGTTCCATCTCACACACCTTTACTCCTCACTTAAAAAAAAAAAAAAAAAAAGAGAAAACCAAAAACCTTTTCAGTGAATGATAAGGGCTTTGTTTTCTTGCCTTGAGGTTGTTTAGTGTCTTGGATTTCTCCCTGGTTTGTTTTCCCTAAGTTCTTTGATTTTATCAGTACTGATCAGTATTAAGATTGAAGTATATATCCAAAGGTGGGGGGACTATAACTCAGATACTAAATAATTTTGTGCTAAAAATTAATTTCTTCTTAAATATATAAATGAATTCATTTTGTTCCTCTTCATTTGGGTTAAATAAAAACAAAATTTCATTTTAGAAATCCATGCTGATATTCTGTGATCATAGTTTGCATGAGCTTCAGTATACCAAATATCTTAAACTTGTATGCTTATGTACTTAATAGATTTTATGTGCAGCTTTGCCTTAAAAGTATTAAAAACAGTAGGAGGCAGTTGGGTTTCACCGAGGCATGTGCGATGACAGATGGAGAAAATCTTTTCATGTTGATTTTTCAACAGTCCTACTCTGCAAGACTTCAAGCTCTTCTTAGCTACTGGGAAATTAAAAGTTGGCGATTCAGCTTTTAATTTTGATCCATCTGCTCAAACTAATGAGACGTCTCATTTGTAAGCTTCTCTTTGTGTTATCAAATGCAAGTACAGCTTTATCATTCCTGTTAATAATTCCCCTCCTCCTGTGTAACTTGTAGAATGGGAAAATAATTGATGCTTTAACTCTATTGAGAGATAATCTATTGAGATTTTTCTTATTACACAAACTTTGTTACATTGAAAGGAAAAGAAATTAGGAACTTTCTTGGATTATAACACATATTTAGCAAATTAACTTGTTCTTTTTGTTTCACATTGTCTAAAAAGTTAAGAGCCTTATAGTCTAGCTTTGCACTCAAAATCTGCCTCTAATTCAAAGCAATAAAAGGCTTTTTACTATTAAAGAGATTAAGGTCTTCAATTCTAGCTTAATGCTACACATCAGCCTTTACTTAATGTGTGTTCTATTTTTTCTGTGTTCTTTATAAGTTCCTACTAGATGTTTCATTTCTAGTAAGAAACCATCTTTAAAAATGAAATAATAATTACAAATTATTTCTGTGTGAAGGAAATTATTTTTGTTTCTTAACATTGGTTCTGAGATTATGTGAAAGTAATAATTTATATACAATCAAAACAAATGCTACCAAGTTTACCTTAATAATAGAAATTTCCTTTAGCTCTTTTGCCTAGGCAGGTTTTTATCCTCCAGAAACAAGCATATCTTATTCTTGGTGCTGTTGTTCCCGTCATATCCAGTTTGCCTAGCACGGTTTATCTGTGAATGATTCAAATGCTGCTTTCTTTGTCCCACAATCTGATTGGGCAAAGTCTCAAAGGAATACAAAAGCAGGCATCTTATGGACACAGTCTAAGTATGAGCAGAAGAAGTAAAGGTATCTATCCTTTATCTTCACCACAAAAAGGTTGTGCTACTAAAGAACTATTTGTTTTTTTGTTGTTTTGTTTTTTGTTTACTACAGGAAAATTTGAAGGAAATATTCCTTAAATATCTGCTTTGGCAAAAGCTCTCTCACCTTTCCAAGAAAAGACTATTGAGTTTTATATCAAGTTGAAATTTACTTGTCTTTCATATTTCATGGGTAAAAGTAGTTTTTGATCCTGTTATTTTTAAATTAATATTATAAGTCTTTGCTTAGAATTCTTGATCTCTAATGTAAGAATTCCTCAAGTATATCTGTAGAACTAGTATATAAAAAAGTTGATACCTTCTCATATGTACTTTCAACTCATTAACAGTGCTCTTTTTTGAGGGTGAGGAGGCCAAGGCATTGAGGCTATTCATGCATTCACTTTTTCACTCCCTTGTTAACATGACATCGTTACAGACATTCTCCAGCTGAGTTGCATGAAATAAAGAGCTGAAAGCGCATTTCCTTTCCATGGGGGTCAGGTGCCAGGTGGTTGATGGTTCATACAAACATTTGGTTACAGAGAAGGCCAAGAGAGTACTCCTATTATGGAAGGAATTTCTGGTACAATAAAATGAAAATTTATCAATGACAATTTAATTATACCTTTGTATTTAGTAGCTATTTTTAGTTGGACATTATGCTTCGAGAGCAATAGTGTATTCACACTATCAGCCTCTAGATTGATTCTGTTGCTATATGATATGTATTTGTGATACTAATAAATGTGCATTTTCAGCTGAGATGAATAAAAGAGCAAGACCTATTTTAGTAATTGTCTTCATATAGAGTACTGTATTGTCACTGATCATTAAGGTTTTCTTTCTCCCTAGTAATAAATTGTACAGGTAGATATTTGTGTCTCTGACTAGATGATTTAGTCTTTGGTACATGATTTTATCACACTGGTGAACCCACTAATTGAATATTCGTGCTCTTGTTTTTTGGTGGTAGTGGTGATGTTAGAGATTGAACCGAGTTTCTTCACTGAGTGGTTATAGTGCCAGCCCATTATTTATGAGACAGAATCTCAGTTAATCAGTTGCCAAGTTGAGCTGAGGATCCTCCTGCCCCAGTCTCCCACAGCGCTAAGATTATAGGCATGCATTACCACACCGAGCTTCCTGTTTGCAGTGTTGGAAGGAGTGACTTTCTGAGTATTCTCCGAAAGACACTGAAAATGAAAAAACTCTCTTATACTTTTTTATTTGTAATATTCATCATTTACTTTTTGTTCTACAAAATTATTTTAAAAATAAGTTGCTTATAAACTTTTAATGCAGCAAAAGCATTGGAGAATGGATTTAATTTTTGAAGTGACAAAAGCATATATATTAATTAGAAAACTCTAGGTGACGTGCCTTGTTTATATTACTTATACCACTAGACTGATCAGAAAGCATGATAACAAATGTTATCACATGATCATTGGTCTTGCCTAATTCAGGAACATGAAAATTCGTGTTGACAGGTACCATCTGCTCCTCAGCCTTTCAACCACTAAAAGGCCAAAGGCATTTAGCATATTTTAACTACCAATCCCACATCCTTAATAAAAGAATATTTTTAAAAACTGGCGAAATTCTCTGTTGAACGCAGCTCAGAGTTGAGAACAAAATACAGGTACTCCTCGTTTAAGGACCAAGTTCCCTCCTCCTGGTTAGATTGTAAATTGAGTTGGTCGGTAAATGAGGAATTGTATATAGTATGGACATTACAGTATTCAAAGAAATGGTCAAAGGAAAATCCCACTTCATGACTGTGGTTTTATTTGCATAACTTTTATATGCAGTACTATAATGTATAACAGAACATAAAACTGCAGTATTGTACTGTACTGTATAGTACAATCAGCAAAAATGACAGTACTGTATAAACAAGGTGTACTGTACCATAAAAAACATTGAAGCTGTATAAAAGGAAAGTACAGAACTGTATCACCCACAAAAAAGGCAGGTCTTAAATTCAAGCAGCAGGTTATTGCCTGAATAGCTGTTAAACAGTTAAGTCCTTAAAAGAGGAATGTCTATAATTAAGAGATTACCTAGAGGTTGTAAGAATGAAAACATGCATAAAGTGCTGACAGCACTTTTGGGGAGTAGGATGGGAGGGGCGCTTGTTATGCTGCCCAGGGTGGTCTCTAACTCCAGCGCTCAAGTGTCCCTTTTGCCTTAGCCTCGGAAGTAGCTGGGACTCCAGGCGGGTACTCCTGAACCCCTTTGATTTGATTTTTTTTAATCTTTGTTTTATGTTTCTTGTGATGTAAAACTCTTGTTGTTTTCCTCTGTTCTCCAGTCACTTTAGCCTTTCGGTTTCTTTTTTGGAGTCTTTTTCTTCTCTGCCTGGCGTGGTTCTAGACCTTTTTCAATTTAACCCTCTTTTCTTGTGGTTTCGTCATATCTCCTTTGTAGAAATAACTTAAATATCTATATTCCCAGCCCAGGTCTCTTTTCTGAGATCCTGGATGAATATGATCCATGTGGCCTTTCCTCTTGTGTATGGCAAATGCATATCTGAATCAACTTCATGATCATCTCCCAAACCAGTATTCCTTGATTTAGTGAACGGCATGGGACTATAGGTTTATTTCCTTAAGCCAGAAACCTGAAAGTCATCTTTTGTCAATCCTCCCTCAGTCTCATTTGTGATCTTTCACCAGTGCTTGTCCATTTACCTCCTTAGTATCTGTGAGATACGCCCATTTCTCTCTGCATCCTCTTTCTCCTGTACCATTACCGCCATCACCTAATCTGGGCAGTCATCGGCTCTTCCGGGGGGCTTTGCTAGCCTCTTCTCCGCTGCGTCACCTGCACGCATTTTACCCCTCTTCTACTGTGTGTATGTACCCCTCTTCTACCTCTGTATGCTGCAGGTACTAGAGTGATTTGTTCGAAACACAGCTCTAGTATGACATTAGAATGCTTAAAGATCTTTGAAAGGCTCCAGGGTTTCCATATTGTTTAGCTATTACCATTTTGCACTTCATCACTTACCTCCCTCCGCACCACTTCTGTGCCTGCCTCCAAGCTCTCCACCTCTCATCATAGTAATCTCTTTTACTTCCTGTTGGGCTTTTGTACAGCGTCTCCTCTGCCTCACGCGTCTTTATTCTCCCTGCTTACTTATCCTGTAGTAAATCTTTCAGATTTTATCTTTCTTCAGGAATCCTTTAACTTTCCTGATTCTGTACCCTATTATGAAGAATATATATATCAGAAAAATACATATATAACAGTATATATCATAATAAATATATATTATGATGCTATATGTATCTTTTCATATTGTGAGCTGTAACTTTACAGTTCTGGCTGTTTTTGATGAATGTCATCCCTTGTTGTAGGATCATAAGTCCCATTAAGAAAGACGCTGTCCCCCAAGAGAGGGCCTATGGGTTTTATTTGTTTATTTGTGTTAAAGGTGCTATCCCTGGGTTTTGCTCACCAGTGTGTTCTTATGGCTTCACCAGTACTTGGCACAAGGACAGTGTCAGGTAGTAATGATGACTGAGGAAATGGTAGATGATGTAGTCTTGTTAAGTCTGAGCTTATTAAAGAATTATAGTGCAAAAGAACTTCACGGAAAATCAAGAAAGTAATCTTTAGTCCCAGGATAAGCTGAATATTGAGTTAAAACACCCTGAACATGTGGAAGAACGGGAGAGGTGGCTTTCATTACTTTTTTAAGGCCTATAACCCCCTCCCAGGCTATAAGGAACAGTAAGAAAATGTCAGTATTCTCCCAAAGCATTTTTTATGTAAATTTACACATTATTTCATCTTCTTAAAATACTTTCTGTTATTAGAAACTTTAAATATGATATTTCTCCAAATTTGAGATCTCCATCTGACTTAGCTGTTTTTCATGATGCAGACCTGTCATTTGTACCGCAAGTTATTTTAATATCGTACTTCTTCCTACTCATTAAGTCATTGAGGAGTAACATTTGAACCCTTTTAAAATCTGTAGTTTTATGAGAGCAGAGACAAATTCCATTTTTTAAAAATGCAGCTTATCATAAGAGTATACTCAATTATCATCTTGAATTTTTCCAAACAACAGGTCCTGTATTAATCCCGTATTTTTGTCATCCTCGTTTTCAAAAGGAAAACTCTTAATTGGGAATATTAGTATTACATATTCCTTCATTGCTGCTAACATTACTTTTCTCTAAGACTTAGAGAATTTCCAGTTTACTGAACTAATACATTCTTGCAACAAGTAGATCAATCTAAAGATTTTTTTTTTTTAAAAAAAAGGCTAATAAGTTAGTTACCTTTCCCCATCACCTTAACTCCAGTGCTCCTATCCCATTCGGTTCTCTTCTGACCCCTATAGGCATATTCAAGTTATACGTATATTTAGGCAGTTGAGCTTCTTCAGTGGCTTTTAAACCATTTATCAGTGATTTCTCAAATTACAGTACAAATGGGCAGAATACTGTAGAACCCTTTGTCTCAAAATGATACTCAAGAATTTTGAGGATATAAACTCAGTTTAGATCTATCCTTATTCACTACACAGATCTATTATCGGTGGTGTTGTTGATAGTAGTCTGTGATTAGGGAGGTTTTTGTAAATCTCTTTAATGGCAGATAGTTGTACATTTTCCTGGAAACATTCTTTGTGTTAGCATCCTTTCTGCCGATGGCAAATAATAATTCTTTTTGCCCTTTGGGCTCCTCAATTCTAATTGTCACATGGATGGGAATTGCACATCCTAGGTATATAAATATGCCCTAGCAGTTCTTTGCTGCTTATTTTCCCATTTTAAATTTAAGCTAAAAGATCAAAAGAAAAACTAAATACATATTGTTAGGAAAAATTGGAATTAAAGCGGATAGTTTTATTTTTGTGAAGTTGTTTTCTTTGTATAGTTTGTTCATCACCAAGGAGCTTGTACAAAACTGAATTTCAGCATGTACAGCAAAGGTTATGTTCCACCTGCTTCAAGCTTTTGCTTCTATTGCATAGTTCAACATTGTCTTTTTTATGTATCTCATGAGTATAGGTTCTCTTATAGAAAATCAACTTTTCCATCTATTTTCTAATCCTCTTTTTTTTCAGTTTCCCTCTTTCAGAATACATTTTTATATTATAAGTAATAAAATGTGAAAATAATATAAATTGGTTTATCTTCTTACGAGGTGCTATTTTTAAAATAATATCATTGCATGATTGTCCTTAGTTGTTTTTCACATGTCCAAAATCCCTTGCATTGTATTATTACTATTGAACTTCGCATGTTTTACGTGCATCCAGCCAATGGTGAATGCATGTTTTCTGACTTAATACATAAAAGTAAAGTATGTTTTCAATTTGAATGAATATGTAATTCATTGACTTGAATATATAGTTATATTCGTTATTTTATGTAGTTATTTAATAATGTATATAATTATACAGTGAATATATAATTATAAATTAATGATACTAAAAGCTCTGAGCCTCTTTAATTCATTGCTGTCACATAGTATTTTCATATATTTGGTCCGAATGAAACCTATCTGAATACATGTTTATTTTGTACTATTTTTTTGTACTATTTATATGAATTACTTATATTGTTGAAGATAGCCTTAGCACTAAAATAGTGTTTGACGATTTTTATCATTTTTCTAACTTACAGAGTCATGAAAATTATCTAGACTGCTATTTAAATTATTTTGCATTGTATATTAAAATTTAATTTCATACCTATACATTTCATTTTAGAAAAGATATATCAAATCTGTTTATTAACTGATTTCTAGTTGATATTTGCATTTAAAACAGTTGGTAGATGTCGTAATCAGCTTAGTTACCACTACTTTGTTGTCTACATTGTTATAGAAATCTTTAGTAAAATTTTATTTTCAGTATTTTTTATTAAAGCTTAGTATAAAATTTTGTGTCACAATAAAATCTGATATAGTTATTTACATATTTTCTCAAAGAGTAAAAAGGGAGCTAAATGTTTACTTCTTTTTAAAATTTTTTTATTTTAAAGAGAGTATGAGAAACAAACAAAGATATGGAACAGTAGCCGCATACCAGTATCACAAACATAAACAAATCAAAGCAAGAACTTTCAAAGTGATGCAGAGTCTCAAGACAAAATAATATGAATTAGCAGTGGTTGTTACATTACATGTTGCTATCGTCAACTACATTGCTCACATTACCATATATAAGAATGAAAGATTGCTCAAACCATTATAGGGAATAAGAAAATAATTCTTCAATAAAACAGTAGAGATAATACAGAGTTTCACTAGACAAGATGATGAGTTCACCATTGTAATTCCATTGCATATTGTTACCTTCAAATCAGTTGCTCAGACCACCAGACACAAGCATGCACAATCAATCAGAGCATAAAGAATTGTAATCATTAACTGTTCATTTCAGTACACCATCAGACATCAACAATACAGTTATCACAGCTATTCATATATATATTTATATTTTGCGTTCCTTCTTTCTTTTTTTCCTCTTTCCCTCATCCCAGTCATTCCTTCCTTTGAGGAATTGCTTTCCCTTTCCTGTCATCTATTGTGTTTTGAATTTTTAAATGAAATTAAGTATTGCAGATTTGTACTCCTTTTACATGTAGCTGGAGTATTTAGCAAATTTTCTTTCTTTTCATAGCACATTTAAGTGAGAGTGGGAAATTATACTTAATATTGTAACTAGCTTTTTTTAAGGAATAACAATAGTCTTAGGTCCATTTTTTTCCTTGATTTTAGACATAATTGGATGGGTAGTACAACCATAACTATAGCATAGCAAATAAAATAGGTATTTCCAAATTGCACACAGTCATCAAGTTTTTTTGTTGTTTTTTGTTTGTTTGTGTGTTTGTTTTGAAGACAGGCTCTCACCATGTAGCTCAAGCTGGCCTCCAACTCACAGCCATCCTCTTGCCCCAGCCTCCCAAGTGCTAGTCATCAAGGTTTTGAAAACTCCAGAAACCTGATGGAAGAACTGTTAGTGTGAAACTATGAAGGGACACGATACTGCCTTACCTGCATGCTAAAAGTTAGCTTAACTTCTTAGGCCAACCTAATCTACATTTTACACAAGTGCACACAAATGTGACATGCCAGGATTAGGGGACAGAATTTGTATCGCTTTATAGAGGATCTTGTGTTGCTCACACCACCACCACCACCACCACCCTCCCACAACTAGGACATCATAGTAAGAGTGAGCTAAGCAGATGTGCCTGGGTCATGCCAAGGGTATAAATTTATGAAACTGAGCTTCTGTAGAAGCTATAGGTACATCTGCCATCCTCCCCTCTGGAGAGAGCAAGAAAGGAGCGAAAAAAACAGACCCACTGAGTGAAGCACCCAAGTACTCGCTGTTGTACTCTGCACATTTCAAACAGACCCCACTTGAAGAAGCAGAGAAGCTCTGTAGCCTGGAATGTGACCATTCAGTTCTTTGTGAGATAAGAAAAGAGGGTTCCAGGGATTCATCACTCTTGGAGCAAATGGCCCTAGGGGAGTAGAAACATTCTCCATTTTTATGGAACTGTGCTTCCACTACTCAGAAGGCTCTGACCATATAGAAGCACTAAGAATGTCAGGAAGGATTATCTTCAAACAAGCCCATTGAAATATCTGGAAAGAACATGTGCTGGCTAAATTTTAGGACGATAGAGGGTTCTTTTTGTTTTGTTTTATTCTGTTTTGTTTTGTTTTGTTTTGTTTTGTTTTGTTTGAAACAAGGTCTCACTGTGTAGCCCAGGCTGGCCTTGAGATTGCAGCAGTCCTCCTTCCTCAGCCTCCCGAGTGAATGCTGGGATGACAAGTATGTGCTGCCACCTCACCCAGCCTTTAGACTATCTTTTATGAATTAAAGAAAAGTTTTCTAGCCATTCTTGCATTTCATATTCTCTTCCTTAATTCTTTTGTCCTATTTTCCATGGACCGGAGCCTGAATTATTGGACTATCATATTTGATGTACCATGTTTGTCAGTTATTTTTTAAAGCATGCAGAGAAAGCTAAATGAAGTTTAAATGACTCAATGGTCAAATAGTAGTGTGCCCTTTTTTGTGTACTGTATGAGGTGTTTTATAATTATCACAACTATGGATTTGCAGATGACTGCTATGTTTCTCTTCTTGTTATCTTTATTTAACAAAGAGGGTCAGCTGATTTACAGATGCAATAATCTGATAATGCAGATCTGTGGAGATTTGAGATATCTTTTCATTTGTGTTTATAAAATGAAACAGAAAACTAAAGGAGACAGTCCAACGACCATATAAGAAGAATTAGAGTTCTGTGATTTTTCCATTTATAGCAGTCTAATTTTAGTGCAGAGAGTAAAGTTGATTTAGAATGTATTATGTTAGTGGCATTTCTTCCACTCAAGTGATTTTTAAACGTGTATTTTTTTCTAAAAAGAATCACTGTAACTGATACCTGTATAGTCCAGTGTTCAAGAATTTCAGTGATTATTATTTAAGAAAAGAAATAAATACTGGCAGAAATCTGAAAATACATTTTATGTTGTTATTTTACTGAAATCAGATACAACACAGAGCATCTTTTAATGTTCAAAAGTAATAGAACTTCAAGTCCAATGACGTCTGTAGAAATGAAATTGTTAGCTCACTAATGAATTTTATTTGCATAGTAATAGAGTAGCTGTTCTTGCTTAATTTAGTCTACGAAATAGATGTTGCTATTTTGGGGTCCTCAATAACAAATGTAAATGAAATATGATCTTGTGGAGGTCAGAACAATATTTTTCTAAGTATAATAAACACTGTAATATATTGAAAAAGGAGTCATTTATCTGCCGTTAGTGGATGACCAGATTTAACAGTGAATTAAATATAGCAATGTTTGTGCTATGAGAAGCAGTCCAAGTCATCACTGTAGTTTGGTCTACAACATTTAAATTTTAGTTATATTTGAGAGTATCTTTGACAAAGCCTGAATTCAAGGTGCTTGAATTTTTAAGATTGATGTACTATCTTTCCATCATCATTAAATTAATCATTACAAGTAAGTTGGCTTCAACATATATTTCTTAAAACTTTCATTTACATGCAGCTATGTCTATATGAACATTTTAGGATTAATACATATAACTTTTATAAACTAAAATTTAAAAATGAAAATAGAGTTCTGGACATAATGTCTTCTAAAGTACTGTATATGTTTCATGATTTGGGTTCTCTTTCTATATTTGTCTGTTAGGTAAGAGCTGAGGTAGGTAGAATAGCAAATACTGATATTCCTACATTTTCATGAGGATTTATCTTGTCAGTCTGATTGAATTGAGAAACCCCTGGGAGATTAGTAAAGCATACTTTGGGGTGTGTCTGGGTGGGTCATGGGGTGTTTTCTGGCCATTCCTACATTGTTGTTTGGGGGATTACTTTTTGCCATGCCTACATTCCTATACCTGTTGTTTCACTTTTGTTTTTTGTGTAAACAACAGAGATTTATTTTCTTATAATTTGGAGGCTGAAAGGCTGAGATCAGTCTCCATAGGGCAGGTTCCTTCTGAGGCCTCTCTCCTTGGCATGCGGACGTTCACCTTCTCTGTGTCCTCATGTGGTTTCCTTTCTGTGTGTCTAGGTCCGATTATTAAAATAATTATTACTGTATGTCTGCAGTGCATAATAGTCATGTTTATTTGGGGGAATTGGTACATGCATGTAACATAGCTTGATCATTTTCGATCCCTTCCCCTCTTCTTCCTTATCTCCATCTTCCTCCTGCTTACCTTCTCCATCTCCAAAAAATCTGCTTTCTTGTTTTCTACCATTTCTTCCTTACTGTATTCATTTATTCAGCTATATTTTAGACTTCTCATATAAGTCATAACTTTCTGTGTCTGACATTTCAATAGCATTATTGTCTTACATTCTATCCATTTTCCTGCAAATGACATGATTTCATTCTTTTTATGGCTGAATAATCCATCTCTCTCTCTCTCTCTCTCTCTCTCTCTCTCTCTCTGTCACATTTCTTATCATTCACCTGTTGACATCTAGATTGTTTCCAGAGCTTAGTTGTGACTTGTGCTGATATAAACCTGGTTAAGCATGTATCACTGTAGAATGATGTCTTTTAATTCTTCTCTGAATATACTCAGGAAAGGTATAGCTCTGTCAAATAGAATTTCTATCTTTAGTTTTTTGAGGAGCCTCCTTACTGATTTTCATAGTGGTTGTACTTGTTTACGCGCCTACCAACAACGTAAAAAGTTCCTTTCACCTACATCCTTGCCAGGATGCACTGCTTTTCATGTTCATCATAATAACCATTTTGGCCAGGGTAAAATGGAATCTCAAAGTTTTTTGATTTGCATTTTCCTAAAGACTAAAGATGAAGAACATTTTTTTATATACTTACTGCCACTTGTACTTCTTTTGAGAAGTATGTATTCAGTTCATTTGCCCATTTTTTTCTTGTATTATTTGATTTTCTGCAGTTCTTTATGTATTCTCACGAGTCCTCTATCAAAAGTGTATCTGGCAAAATTTTTCCCTTTTTTGTAGGTTTTCTGTTCATTATGTTGTTTCTTTTGCTGTACAGAGCTTTATAATTTGATAGCTCTTGGTATTACATCTTGTATTACTAGGCTTTCGTTCAGGAAGTCCTTACCTGTACCTGTGGCTTCCAGTGTTTCCCTATGTAATTTTGCACAAGTTTCAAAGTTTCTGTTTTTATATTTAAGGTCTTTGATCCATTTCAACTTTAGTATAGGGTGAGAGATAGGGATCTAATTTTGATTTTCTACACATCAATAACCAGTTTTCCCAATGCCATATGTTAAAGAGGTTGTCATTTCTCCAGGGTGTTTTTAGCCCCTTTGTCAAAAATCAAATGGCCGACAGTGTGCAGGATTAGATGTTTCCTGTCCTGTTGCATTGGTCTGTATGTCAGGTTTTCATGGCAGTACCACGCTGGTTTTAATCCAGCATTCTGATTCCTCCTGTTCTGTGCCTTTTGCTCAGGATTGTTTTGCCTATTCTGGGTCCCTTCTGGTTCCATAGGAATTTTAGGCTTGTTTTTTGTACCTCTGTGAAGAATGCTGTTAATATTTCAATAGGGATCGCATTAAGTCTATAGATTACTTTTGGTAATAGGACCACTTTAACAATATTAATTCTGCTGATCCTAGAACAAGGGATATCTTTTCATTTTCCAATATCCTCTTTAATTGTTTTCTTTAGAGTTTTGTAGTTTTGAATCTAGAGGTTTTTTACCTCTTTGGCATGGTTTTTTAATTTTTTTGTAATTAATCATGAATGGAATTGTTTTCCTGATATCTTTCTTACTGGGTTTACTGTTGGTGTAAAGGAATATTGTTGATTTTGGAGGCTGGTTTTGTATTCTGAACACTGTTCTGTCTTTTCTTTTTCTTTTTGTTAAACTACAGCTATCCTGATAGGTATGAAGAGATAGTTCATTGTACTTTTGATTTTCATTTCCCTAGTGCACATGAAATACGTCTTTTTATGTGTTCACTGGCAATTTATACTGTATGACCACCTTTGGAAATGTGTTGATTGGATTTCTTTAAGCTCAGTTGGATTTTTTATATTATTGTGAAGTTTTAGATGTGATTAGTATATTTTTGATATTAAACGCTTGCATGTGGTTTGCTAATGTTTTGCCCTATTCTGTAAGTTATGTTTTACTCACTAATAGTGTCTTTGATACACAAAATTTTTTACTGTATTGACATCTTACAGTAAAGGAAAAGTGCATTCAAAATGTTTGATATTTTAACAATTATACTTAATAAACTACCTTTTGCTCTTTTAGTAATGTTACTATTTCAGAAAATATAACTATCTTATGCTTCTAAGTGTGTTCAGTATTTGGATAAATGGTGAATTGATTATAAGATATTTTTTACAGTAGACTTAACCAGAACTATGATATGTATTTTTATTATCATGGTACGTGTACATTGCTTCCTTTGGATTTTTTAAAAAATAATATACTTTTCTGCATCTGTCTTGTAGATTATAGAAGATACTATGGATTTCTTTTATTCCAATACAGAGCTTAAAGTGTCCACATCTCAGATACACAGACTGATAAATATTAAAGTGATTCTTTACACAAATTGGGGAAGAATTTTTCTCACATTCTTACTAACCTAAATATAATTCAGAAATGACAGACCAAATCTATTTATCACATAAAAGCTTAGATTTTAGGAGAAGAACTGGAGATTCTCAGCATGAGAGTCCAGAACTGACACTGAAGTCCCGAGTGTAGGTCTAATTACACAGCCTGGAGCTGCGGAACATCTTCTCTCTACTGTGGATTACTTTTCTTGGCTTCTTACTAATTTAATCCGTGAAGACCAGTGAGTTAATTATACAGTTTTCTTATATAGCTAGGACAGGATAAATTAACCCTATTTGAGGTAGCATATATTTTCATGGTATATCTGATAATGTTTAATTAGACCTTTAAGAAAGAAATATATATTTTAGTAAGTTATTTGATTGCCAGGAATATCTGATAAATGCTAGTTTTAAATGCCAAATGTTACACTCATAATTTAAAAATTATTTCAGCCACACATGGGCACATATGCCTGTCATCCTAGTACCTTGGGAGGCTGAAGCAGGAGAATCACCAAAGTTGAACTGAGCCTGGAAAGC